GGATTATCTGACCAGAACGGTGGTGGGCGAACTTGTACCTGATTTACTTCTGGAACGTCAACACGATTTCCTTGCATTGCTTGCATCTGATTAAAGATCTGTTGTTGTAGCTCTTGAAGTTGAGTCAGTTGCTCGTCTTGTCGGGGAGCTGTAGAAGCTGGCCTTCGTATGAGTTCCTCGTCGAGTTCTATTAGGCTATCTTCTGACATTCTGACACTCACAGTCCGAGAAATAATGTCACAAAAGTTGCCTCGTCCACTAAATCACGTCGGGGTCACCAATGTGGGAGCGAAAGATGAGAATTATGATTTATTGTGGACAATTCGAATGAAACTTTTTTATTGACATTCAAAACAAAATCAAATCTTGTTAATAAAATTTTAATTAAACAATGAAGCATCAGTTCCTGGAAACCATAGATCGCTACAGGTCCATTATCCTTAATCATTATTCTATTACTATTCTTAAATATCTCTAAGCTTTCATATGCGTCTAGTTTTCTAATGTTATCAACTTGCTTAACTAATTTGAGGTTAGTAATATGTGTGTTATGATTGTGATTGAACATATGTTCGGCTACACAAGATTTATCTAGCCTGCCATATTTTAAATGGGCTATGTGTTCTTTGAACCTTGTTTTCATGAGTCGCCTGGTTTGGCCTATATATGTTTTATCACAATCATCACAACTTATTTCGTATATTCCCGACTTTCAAGTGTGTCCACTCTATCTTTCGGATTGCCTAATAAATTTCCTAATTTTGACCCAGACTGATAAACGATTTCGAAACCTAAGTCTTTGAAAACCTTATCAAGTCCCTTCGTATACTTGGGATTGAACGGGATTGGGATTCTTCTAGTCTTCTAGAGTTCTTTTTATCCACTTGAAAAGTCGTAGAATATCGAAGTGTTAACTTAAATTTATGTCTACATATTAGTTTATCTACTATTTTGATATCATACCCATTGACGCCAGCCACTTTATAAACAACACTTCTTTCAGCATTGAATCTGTCTTTGCTCAGAGGGAATAAAATCAATCTGTGTACTAGAAAATTTAAACTTGCCATTTTGTGCTGAAAACAGTGATTGAAGTCATTAGGTATATATCTAAATGTGTTAGTTTCTTTTCTAAAGACATCAAATTCTAAGTTGTTTTCGCTATTTTTGATCACAAGTACATCTAAGAAAGGTGATTTGCCATGATTTTCTTCTTCAAAGGACAGTCTCGATGAAGTAATAGTGAGTGTTGAATCCGCGATTCAATATCTCTAAGTCTTCAAAAGGATTTGATAGAGAAGCGGTTAGGAAACAAATTTCCAAAAATGTAATCAATCATAAACATAACTCCCAACGGAAAACTCAAAATATTATCAAAGGATTGAAAGAAATTGTTTATCGCCTTTCCTGGCTGAACTGTTCATGAATCGATTTGAAGCGAATGCAAAAGAAAAATTCGAGTATTTCCCTAGGGTTTGGATCACATATGTCGATGATACTTTTGCTATTTTTGATACGAAAACCACAGATATAGATAACTTTATTTCAAAATTGAATAACTGCTTCCCCTCTATCAAATTCACTAATGAATGCGAAAATCACAATCACAATCATAACACACATATTACTAACCTCAAATTAGTTAATCAAGTTGATAACATTAGAAAACTAGACGCATATGAAAGCTTAGAGATATTTAAGAATAGTAATAGAGTAATGAATAAGGATAATGGACCTATTCCATATAGCCCTCTGTATAGTCTAGTAATATAAAAATTTGGATTAACATGTGAACTCAACCATGACAAACATCAACTTGACGGTTAGTATTTTTCACAGTTGGGTGAACATATACCTAGTATATAAGCAGCACACTAGAATAGGATATTTAGTTTTAATCTTCTCCTGAAGATGCTAACATAGTTAGCGAAACACGTGTCGAGGCGTTAAAAAAATCGCTTTGGTTAGTGGTAAAACAGTGTAGTGTATTATCGTGCCAAAGGTTCCAGTCTTCGATATATAGTTAACACAATTTGAGACATAGAAATGTTAGTTGCTCTCGTAGTTATTTCAAAGGGCTACTAGTTTGTTCAACGATTTAGTTTTTCAATCTTCCATTCTCATGAACATTTTTTAACTCTCTGTCTCTATAATCATTCAATACGTTTTACGATTGATTCCTTATTGAGCTCCAAAAGGTCGATCAAACTGAGATCTGCATAACCATGTTCGTGAAACCCCCATTTCAATTCATGAAATCAGAAGAAATTCAAATTACGCCATACTACAATAATTATATTTTTCATCATTCCATTTAAAAAAATGCGTTCGATTTTCTGGATTTTTTTGGTGCACCCTGTATATGCAGCATGCAGCAATGATTCCTCGTTAGAGACCCTGTTGTCTAGTTTACCACATCAGGTATTCTTCTAGTAAGCATCTACACATTATATAATTTAGATAATAAATCATAACTTTCTAGTGATCGAGACAGAGTCAACAATATTGGAGTGGTGGTTGAAGGTCACTGAGGAAGAAATGTGCTAATATACATATCAATGCACTTTAAAGAAATGCGTTCGGTGTTCTGAATTTTTCTTGTGTATGCGGCAATAATTTCTCGTTTTACAGTGTGGCCAAGATAAAGTTGAATGGGAAAAAAGTTGCAAATTCCCAGGGTCATACCAACGGCCTTAGACATTTTAAAAATTGATTTTTACTTTTCAGTTATATCGAAAAAAGTGAATTTTTGAAAAATCCATTTCATTTTCCTTATCATTAGACGCAGTTAAACTGCAAATACTTTTCCATAGCAACTTTTGATGAAATATAACGTGGTGATATTGATTTTTCTATGCGATATTTCGTATTCATAGAACCATCATAAACTACTGTATTTTTTAATACGGTCCTGATTATTTGTTCACAGGTTCTATTTGCTTTTTTTATTCTGAATTCAAATACAGTGTGTCCCAAATTCGATCCTCACCATTGGGATCTCAGTAACTATGAGAGATAGAGAAACGGTTAAATTAGCAAAGTAGTAGCCAATCTAATGTTGAATCAGGATCTATCAAGAAATCTAGGCTAGCTTCAGTCATTCTTGAGTTATTTGAGAAAAAATGAAATCTTGTATTTTTGTTTTGTTCGAATAACTCGGAAACTATTGATTTTATGAAAAAATGATTTCAACATTCTCATAGCACTTTTTGGTGTTCTTTTCAATGGTTTTGTCAGTTTTCCATCAAAATGTCAAAGGACCCCGCACCGCATCAATGGGAAATTGGCTTTCGGTGAATTTACTCGAATTTTTGATATATTGTAGAACTCGTGGTGCTGATCAGATGTCTCCATTGCACCAACACTCTAAAATCGACAGTTAAGATTATATAGGGTGATAAAGTTGACTTTTCCAAAATTTTAGATAGAAATTGTGAAGACACCTTTCGAAATTTCAAAACCAAATCAACTGTGCATTGATTGTTCGAATGACCGATACGAATCTACTATGAAGTATAATAATACCTACACGTACTAACAATATACAGGGTGGGTCGGAATATAGCGAATAATTCAGTGGTTTTCGGAAAAGTGGGCGGTGGAATTTCATTTAAAATCTGTAGTATACAAATATCATCCCAAATTCGTGATATTAGCATTTCCTAATCAGACATCTTATATACAAGATGTTTTATTTTTGATAGAGTCACATCCATGTTAGGTACTTATTATTGGCATCCTTATTATGACTTACAACTTGAACAACCTATTGGGAAACTCGTTTATTCCATGATGAATGTACACTCTGCAAATACGTGGAATATACGGAGTGGATGAAAAATCAATATTCTTTGCTGATAACTTCTCAAGAATGATCACGCCAATAATTATGGTAACGAAGAAAAAGTAAGGGACAGTGGTATCGAAGCATTCAATAAATACCCCAAAAATGCTTAGAAACGTCTAGAAGCAACTTAAAGAAGAGGATATCGTTTAGAGATTAATGGTTTTAATTTTGAACATTTGCTATGAATGATATTTTTTGCAATTTATTTCTGTTCGTTTTGTCAAAGTAATTCGTGTAAGAATCCATTAACATTAAACAATTTGAAGCGCTGCATTGAACAATTTAGGATTTTATTTTTAATTCTCAGTATTAAATAAATATTCCATCAATGTTCGACACTGAATGATCAGAAATCAGTTGATGCTATTTCCTCTTTGGAATTTCGAAAAAACATTGAATATGGCTGAAACTAGGTCGAAACACATTCAAACCACTTTGAGTAATACATGGTGGAATTCACAATAATCTACCAGAATCTGTGAACACATAATCAGGACCATATTTGAAAAAATTTGATGATGGTTCTATAAATACGAAACTTTTCGTAGAAAACTCAATATCACCACTGAATCTCATCAAAAGTTGTTATGGAAAACTATTTCCAGTTTTTCTGTATCTCTAATAATAATGAGAAGAAAAATAGATTTTCCAAAAATTTTCTTTTTTTTTATCTGAAAAACTAAAAACATTTTTGAAAATTTCGAAATCCCCATGCTGTGCAACCTTATCTTGGTCACAATGTGACCCCGCCTAGTTTACCTTCGTTATTGAATGATGTTTCTAGCATCATAGGTCTCGAGCAATCAGACTCTAACGCACTATCGCCCCACCCTGTATAATAGAGAACAAACACACATAAATATATAGGTATTCATAAGGACCAAATCCCAAAATGGACGAAATATTTTGCAGCGTGGATTATTATTTGATTGGCCTATATTTCAAGTATTTTCGATTGTTTAACTGGTCACATAAAGCCAAACCTTGCAAAATTTCAGTTAGTTTTGAGAGGGCCAACAATATTTGCCAACATAAAATTCTAGGTCAAACTGTCAAATTTGAGTTGTATGTACTGTGCATTTTAGATTTGTAAAATCGCACGATTTTGACCATTAAATTGAAGTAATTGGTTTGTATTTGTGTCGTTTTGCAGCGAGTATTTGTATGATGCCTATGCTGATCGTGGGGATAGCATCCCTCTCAACAGGTAAGTTTGCTATATTTGTGCATGGTGGCTGCAGGCAGTGTAGTTTTAATTTATGTAGAATAATTGGTTTGCTGAATGGTTCGTGTGAATATGGATTATTCAAAACTGAACATGACTCTAATTAGATTTTGTTTGGTGTATCATGGGGACGAGATTTTTTTCTAATTTGGTTGGCTGTCATTGTACCCCGGGTATTTTGTGATCGACTACTGAAAATAGTTAAACGAAAAAGTGGATAGCGCAATAGGATATTGGATTCACGTATGACAATCACCTTATTATCGATATCTCGGTAGGCTTTTTACCAAATAACGAATTTCTCGAATCAGTGGAGGAATCATGAAATTGTACTATGGGATTAGATTTGCATTGAAAATAGCTCCTTCAAATTGATATTCACAAGTAGAAGAAAAAAAGATAATATTTCTCTGATGAAATAACCTAGAATATAAAAATGTTGCGTTTATTTACAGCAGAGGTGGCAAACGTGGTGGTAAAAAGAAGAAAGGAAAGAAATCCGATGATAGGCCACAGAATATGGGGGGAGAAGTTGTAGCACGTGAATATACCGCTGCATCTCATCCTTCTGACTCTAGATACGCAGACATGGCTCCAAAGTAAGTTGATTGTCTTCATGTGAGTGGCTTGAAGGAACAGTGATGTGAACTTACTTCGCCTAACAAACTAACAAGTAATGTTAGAGAACTGTCTTTGTTGCTAAAAAATTATTTTTCTTACAAGTTTGGCACTTATAATTCGTTTAGTTATGTATATGGTGGTTTCGAAATATAAACCAATTATCGCTCCATCTGATTTTGAATACGCTCATTCAATTGTTTTATATACAGTGCCAGTTTGACGAAACAATTGAGGAATGAGTCACCAGAGGTTATTCACACCATTAAAGGACCTTATAAGTTTCAATTCAGTTTGTGAATTTTAGTTGATGACAATACTCATACTAACAAACATACATCAATATTTATACTTCACTGAAAATAAACTATTCAACAGAAAGAAAAATGTAAAGAGAGAGTCAGTCAGAAGAAGAATAAATTGAAAATAGAAAAAAAATTTGGAATAAACTCATATTTAAACTCTCTAAAAAAAAGAAGATGAACTTTTGAATTTTAACTATCAACTTATAAACGCTTAATACACAATTAATATGATCATAAAAGCTTGTCGCGAAGATCAATATTTTATTACATTGAAATTTAAAAAATTGAAACTCAGAGATTTACTTGTGTAAATAAACTAGTACTAAGGTAATTATGTAAAATCTGCTGAGTTTATATTTTTGAAATGTTTGATGACGCCCATCTCGCCAAATTACACAAGTCAAAGTTGATCAATCAATGTGACAAACTTCAATAGTGTGCCATATTGGATTTAGAGTGATGTCACATTATTTCTAATTATTCTTGGCAAGCCCTTTCATTTGATACACATATTGCGGAAGTGCATAAATAATAACTATTCCGCTATCTTGGATGGTCTGCCATATTGTATTTAGAATAACGTCACATCATTTCTCGGGTTTTTCTCAACGAGCCCTTTCATTTGATACCCATATTCTAGAAGTAGATTAAAAATAACTATTCCGTCATGTTGGATGGTCCGCCATATTGGATTCAGAATGACGTCACATTATTTTTTGAGTTGCTCTCAAGAACCCTTTCATTTGATACCCATAGAAGTAGATTAAAAATAACTTTTCCGCCATCTTTAATGGTCCGCCATATTTTATTCAGAATGACGTCACAACAATTTTCTAGTTACTTCCAACAAGCCCTTTCATTTGAAATTCATGTTGTAGAAGTGCATTAAAAATAACTTTTTCGCCATATTGGATTTAGGATGACGTCACAACGAGCCCTTCCATTTGATACCCATATTGTAGAAGTGCAATAAAAATAACTATTCCATCTTGGATGGTCCGCCATATTAGATTTAAAATTGTTGTTCTGAAAAAACTACATACAAACTTACATACTTACATACACACATTGCAAGTTGAATAAAAATTTAATAATGATAGTAATGAAAAACAGAAATGTATTGTTATCTACCTAATTCACTTTGTTTTCATACTTGTTTGTTTCATAATGTTCTTTATAAACGAATAATAATCGATATATCTCTGATTGAAACGTCATGAGATTTTTTGGTTGAAATGTATCAAGATTCGTATTTGTTTTTCATGAAATATTAGAAAATTCAGCTTAATGGAGTTGATCTACAAGCATTTATAGAAAATTTCCACAAGTTACGTCACCATCACTATTGATTTGAAAATTCTTTCAAACTGATTAGAATACAAATATTTAAACTTCTGAAAATTCACTCGAATATTAATTTGTGATACAACAATAGCTCAATTAAGTGAAGCAAAGAATATAATATATATATTTGGGATGAAAAATACTTCGTTGAAAATGAATCGACATTTGCACTAGTTCGTACTTTTCTCCCCCTCCCGCCTAACACACAATGTCCAAAGTTGGGGACTTTCTGTATGTTCCTACTTATGTAAGATCAACCCTTCAACTTGAAATGATAATCTAGTCAGCACCATTTATTTCCGAATTTGGAGATTTTTCAGTTTTCGTTTCTCGGCCTAATACGACAACTGTACCTACTGCCTAATCAAATTACCACAATATTTGTGTTCTAGAATAAAAGTGAATAAGTGCAAAAAAATGGATTATTAAAAGGAATGCTCACGTGGGAATGAAAAAAGGTGGATTACATCATGATATTAAAAATTGAATCAACAAAATTGGGATTCACTTTTGTTATGCCAGGGGAACCCAACAAACCCCAAATAGAAATGATCATGGTGGAAACCACAAGAAAGACCACCACAAGGTGCACATCAGCAAAACTTCGAAATGGGAGAACGTGTCTATGCTTATCTTGTTACGTGTTCGACGGAAGTCACATGACCATGCCGGAAAAAATAAAGACATTTGTCACAAGTCAACAATTAAGACAAGTGGCATGAGACATCCTGACAATAACTAACAGAACCAGTAGACTAATCCATCGAATACCTAACAAAAGGACAAGTCTGTATCCATGTTGAAAGTGTGGTTTGAATTAAGGATATGATTTGCAAAAGAACTTTTCGAATTTTACTCACATTGTACTAAATGTGGATTTCTTGATTTTTTATTAATGTTGACGTGTTTATTCACTCGGGTTTGAATTCTCCTACCACTTTGACCGATATAGTGGGCGTTACAATTAAAGCTAGAAAAAGACACTTTATAGACACCTGATATATGTAAAAGGGGGACTTTATCTTTATTATTCACCAGAGACTTGGAAATAGAATCAGTGGTATAATATTGAAGTATTTATGTCATGTGACTTCCGTCGAGTACGTAACAAGATAACAGGAAATTACACGTTTGCCCCTTTTAAAGTTTAACTGATGTGCACCTTGTGATGGTCTTTCTTCTGGTTTCCACCATTATCATTTCTATTTGGAGTTTGTTGGGATCCCCTGGCATGATGTAATCAACCTTTCAATTATCAAATTTTTCGCACTAAATCACTTTTATTCCAGGACACAAATAATGTAGTAATTTGATTCGGCTGTGGATGAACATATACAGGGTGTTTCAGTTTTTTGTAGCAGGACTTTAACAGCTTGAAGAAGACATTTTTTGTGATGAAAATCTCCTACAAACATATATGCGTGGGAGCTTCGTTTCCGATTTACAGGGTGTCAAAGTTTCAGATTTTTTTTTTGAATTTCCTCCTACAATTTTCTGAAATTTGGTACACCTAATACACTTCAAAAACTCAATATTTGAGGCTATTGAGCGTTTTTGAATACCTACAGGGTGATAGACTTTCAGGGGTCGTACCCAATTTAACCCTGTAGAACTTTTTTGCGTGCCGCCTCTGCTTTCAATGGGACATAGATTCAGATTGTCTCTGCAATTTGGAAACTTTTTGCCCCCATGTATGTTTTTCGAAAACTGTATGGATTTCGAGATAAATAAAAGTGGAATCCGAACCACTTCTAAGGATACTGATAAAATTAGAACTGCCGTTCACGAGATTAAATTATTAAAACCTCATTAAAACTCAACACCTCAACCGTCAGAAGCGACAGTCTAGCGATGTATAGCGCCTAGACCGTGTGTCATACAGTCCCTGATATCGAAAGTTCAACCAGTTTCAGTTATACAGGGTGTCCTAGAATTTTCTACAATACAATTTCAGATTTTGCAATCCAGTTAGAGAAGTTTTTTTAAAATAAAAACATTTTTTCTTTGTTTTTCCTAGTTCCAATTATAATGGTGTTCAAAAAATTCAATCTAATTTTGCAACTGTATTTCATTTGGTATGGAAGCTTTCGGTCATTCATTTTCCAATAAAATGTTTGAGAAATGTCAAATAAGTGTGTTTGAGAAATAACGGTTTTATTACAAGTAATTTATTTTTGGCATTTATCTCGAGATCCATACAGTTTTCGAAAAATTTACATAGGGGCAAAAAGTTTCCAAATTGAAAGGACAATCTGAATCTGTCCCATGTCCAATGTCCCATTGAAAGCAGAGACGGCACGCAAAAAAGTTCTACAGGGTTAAATTGGGTACGACCCCTAAAAGTCTATCACCCTGTAGGTATTCAAGGACGCTCAATAGCCTCAAATTTTAAGTTTTCCAAGTGTATTAGGTGTACCAAATTTCAATCAATTATTCCGAAAATTGTAGGGGAAAATTCAAAAAACAAAAAAAATCTGAAACTTTGACACCCTGTGAATCGGAAACGAAGTTTCCACGCATATATGTTTGTATGAGATTTTCATCTTAGAAAAATGTCTTCTTCAAGCTGTTAAAGTCCTGCTACAAAAAACTGAAACACTCTGTATATGTCCGAAACATGTACCAAGTAATTTTGATCTGTTGACCATATTAAAATGTCGATGAATTCGAGTATTATTGAGTAGTTCTTAACATAAATGTTGAGAAACATTTCAGTAGGCTAGAAACGACCTCAATACTATTTGTTTTCCAATTATTGTCCTTTTTCCTATTTAAATTTTTTCAGGTTTGATCCTAATGAGCATTACCAGTCAACACACTTTTGACAAAAGCTATATTGTGTAGGAGTTGCTAATATGAAGTGTTCTGCTAACTTGCTCTGTGTCTGTCTGAATTGAATTTAAGTAAATGTATGTGTATTTGTTGACTATTCGCTGTAGCGATCATTGAACGTAGTTTCGGCTTTCTTGGTATTAACTGAAATCCTCCCAATTAGAAATGACACCTGAAGGATTTCCAAAATTTTGTAGAAATTACAATTCGGTCACGTGTCCAAAGCACGCCTACACACTGTGAAGTGAGCATCCTATTATAATTGGAATATAACTCGACTTGAGACACAACAAATATTTTGATAACATAGGTAGGTATACTTCCAATCGATTGCCCTGAAGCTGCAAATGAATCATACTTCATTCAGGTTCTACTCAAAACTGTTGATATTTCTATAACAACATAAATTGGTGATATTTGTTATACATATTCTTCTATATCGTCCATGAGTCACGATTTCGCAAAGTTTTAAACTGATAACTGAAATTAATAATGACAATCATCTGCACTGTATACTATACAATGCACTGTATACTATAGTGTATACGTTTGTTAGCTAAATGATATTGACATCATTCAGATAAGTGCAATTCGAAAGTTTTCAGTCAACTTATTGAATCGACTTTGAATTGCATATTTTCACCTTCATATTTTCTTTTACTTATATCAGGTATATGTTCTTGTTCAACCATTGTCGAGCAGTTGTTATTGTCTTGCGTATTGTATTTGTTTGTCTGCCTTGCTCTAAGGTTTCATTACATTGCTCTTAGGAATTGGGAAGAATTTCCGAATGGAGGCCCCCCTCAGTACCAAAGGGCACCGACAGAATATGAACGACCTCCACCCTACTACTATCCTGGAACAGCGTAAGTATATATTCATATAATTGAACTGATATTTTTTTTCATACTCAAATAACTAAAATGGCATTCAGCGTACGGATATGTACCACGCTAAATGATCGATTGAACACGGATTGACCGATCTGTGATTTATTCAGAAAATTGAACACGTTTCCATGGCAACACAATTTCTTGAACACATTACCATGGCAACATAATTTTCAAACACACCTTCAGTCGTCCTATCCAGTCTGTTAATTGTAGGAACTGTCAACTGTCATTTTCGAATTTTGTTGCAATCGGTGACAATCAGAATTATTCAAACAATTTCTGTTTGTATCAGAATTCTTCATTAAAATGTATGCGAATTATAGACGAAAGTGGAATCGAAGAGAATGTTTCAGGTAGGTACATGCATATTTTCAAGAACTCTGTGTGAAAATAAAGCTCTCATCTTTGAGGACAATTTAATCTATGGTGAGCATGACAATAAACGTACAACACAATATTTATGTGAGCAAAAATTATGCAAAGTTATCTGCATTCCTAAAACGCACATCAGAATATGGGTACAAACCTGAGGAATCGAAAACTTTTGACACCACAGCAAATCGAAGTTTTTTCTACTAACGTCAGATGAAATCTTATTCACAAACGTTGGAAAACATGCCATTTTGCATGCTCAGCTCAGCGTTCAGAGCCTCTTGCTACACATTTTTTGTCATATTTTCGAACCATTATTTGTTTAATGAAGTGAACTCTTTTAGACCGCGAAGATAGTCGCAACTGCGAAAGTTTATTTCGAATTGCAGAGCACCTGCATTTCTGGAAAGCGATAAGTTCCTCGAAGGATTTTCACTGACGTTTCCCAATCACAAAAAAACTCGGAACTCGAATAGGTTTTCATACAAAATAATTCACACATTTTTATCATCTTCTGTTCGGGCATCACTTCGCGCTGCCGCCGGTGTTTAAACGCTCCCGACTATCATTGAACCTGTCTGAATGATCATGAATACGTCAATAATCTAGTGACCATCCAATGAAAATCAATCATCGAAATGTGTTGGACAAAGTACCAATTTGTAAAGCAGAAAACGGTCATCATTTCAGTAACGTAATCATCCTCGTTTAAGTCAATTCAATATTTGTATACCGTCCATCATATGAAATTCGAAGAAACAAAAATTTTGCATTCAGAAAAAAAAATTAACAAAAAGACTGTTTTTAAAGATGGTTGAAATTGATATTGAGAAATACACTATGAATAAGAAAACAGATATTCTTATTTATTATATTTTGTTCATGATGATATTCAAAATGACTCTAACTCATAAGATATTCAACAACAATCTGATTCAATAATTTAATTTCTTCCGGTATATAAATTGAAGAATGGAAGTAACAAAGGTGCTAAGTGCCAAAAATGAAGTTTCGAGATATTTAAGAAAAAAGTAATAGAAACGTCTATATGTGTTTTTTTCGTTCATTATTATCAAACATCGTATAAAAGGTCAACGGAAAACCAATTTTAACTAACACCGATATCTGTTATGAAACACAGCTGAAAATAAAAATAAAAATAGAAACGAGGTAAGTGCCACATTTTTTTTAACAAAATAGGATCTGGAAGTATTGCTGATATAATTTGGAGTATTTCAAATTTGAAAATAAGGATACAGGCAATAGTCAAACTGACATTACTCTCAATAATAACAAAAATGACAAAAGAACGGGGTGTCTAATAATTCGACAATACAGCAATTCACTCTGGTACTTGCCCCCGTCGATGACAAATAACCGTTGTCGCTTACCGCTGGCTCTATCTAATTGTTGTTGTCACTTACAGCTTTTGTCAGGTCATAAAGCATGTCGTTCAACACCGTTCTTAGGCAATATCTCAATTCATGAAATTATGGCACTTAGCACCTTTGTTATAGTTGCCGTCAACAGTATAAGATAATGAAAAAATTGTGAGAAAAACGCATAGTTTTTTCTTCTCCATCTCTACCCCATAGTGTTGGGGGCAAGTGGTGCAAGAATTTGAAATATCTAGCTAATGTTCAATATCGAATGTGAATTTACTAATTCTCTTCGTTTGGAAATTTGAGTAAATTAGAGATAAGTTCCAGATACTTCATTGAAGAAATATATGCAGAGTTATGAAGAATTTGAAATATCTAGCTAATGTTCAATATCGAATGTGAATTTATTAATTCTCTTCGTTTGGATATACGAGTAGGTAAATTAGAGATCAGTTATCTATATATACTTCATTGAAGAGATATATGCAAAGTAATGATTCTATTATTCACCATTCATCAAAAATATATTCAACAAAAATTACCTTAACAAATAAAAAAGTTTGAACATTCGCGTATATACAATTCATTCAATAGATACTTAATGCATTCTTCGATCACGACTGTCAGAAATTCTGATATTTATACTTTATACAGATAATATGAATATAATCTAGAGAAGGAAATTCGCGAATAAGTGCATATAAATATACGCCTACATGCCGTTGCATGAAAATGTATTCAAATTTCCTATTAATCAGCATTTAGCATGCGATGGTTTTTTTTTTCGAAATTTTTTTTGGTACTTACGTATTTTTGTCTGAAAAACACGAATTTGATAATGAAAATGTGAACAAACCATTATTCATTAAGATATTTCACTATAAAGTTACAAATTTCACCTTCTTTTCCGCCTGTCTTCTGGATTGAATTTAAAACAATTTACCCTTCTTTTTTCATCATTGGACAATTTATATATATCACAATGTGAGACACATTTTTTTTTGTTATTGAGTCAACTAGAAATATGATTTTCTTGTGATTTATCCATATTTAGTGAAAAGAAGGAAGGATATCATTTGAAATAATGGCGTGTGTAATGTCATTCAGAAGCACTCTGTTGACATTTGACATCTCGTATCTGGTTTGACTATTAATTAAATGGCCGTCATCTGGTATGCTTGTTCACTGAATATGAGTGATAAAGTCGCCATAAAAATCATATTTCCTGTTGAATTTTCTGTATAAAAATGTGTCATTGAAGTACATCATGAGTATATAAAGTGTCCAATGACAAAATAAGAAGAGCAAGTACCTATAAATGCATCCAACACAAGGGGAAAAAGGAGTTAAAATTTCGAACTTTTCTTTGAAATATCTTCGATAAATAGTGGTTTGTTCACATTTGCATTGTCAAATTCGTGTTTTTCAGACAAAAATACGTAAGTACCAAAAAAAATTTTCGAAAAAAAACCATCGTATGCTAAATGCAGTTTTACCAACTAAACTTTATTAGAAAATAATTGCAATGGAACTATTGAATTATTGGAATGTCCACATTTTGTTCGCATTATTCCACCTATCGCCCCCACGTAACACTTGACGCGGCAGATGCAAAGACCCGCGCGGCAAGGATGTATGTTTTTTTTCGATGCAGGGTCGGACGTGATAATAATCACACTTTTATGCGGTCCGCGAAGCTAATATAGCGAATTTGTCTTCGACCGGACAGTTGTTTACTTAATCTATTATTTAAGAATATCAATATTTATAAAAATATGAAAACATTCCTACAGGTCTTGGGAATTACATGATGGGTCGGATGACTCTAATGACAATAATGATTTTCAAGCTGAATATATCTAATTGCGTGAGTGAGCAGCTTTTTCGATAAATACACCCAATACTTACAATAAGTTGAATACAGTGAAGACGTAAAAAGTCTTCAACTTTTGAACAGAACAAGCTAGTGAAGCAGGTAAAATTCAGGTCAAAATACCTTTGAATTAAATTGTTTGTGGTCACGTGGCCTATGGTATCAAGTGGGCACCATCAACTTTTTTTACAAATGTAGAGAAGGATCACGTGGTATCTACCTTGTTTTGAAGGCTTTCCGATTCTCTATCCAACACCGTTTCTTTCGTGCAACTCGGCCAAGAGTTTTATTGACAAGCGTTTGAAATTTACTTCGGATACTGTAAATAACGTTAGGATTGAATTCCAAAACGATTTTCTCGTGTCAATAAGTGAACGATGAACATTTCTAGCATTCTTGAGTACTTCACAATAATTGTTACTTGAAATTGCATTGCAATTAAAAGTTATTTTCAGGTTTTTTATCAATTAATATTAATATTTGAAGCAAATTCCAAAACCTTGTCATTTTGCAACCGCATGGCCGATTTGGTCAATTGGCCGATTTGACCACTTGACACAAGGCCACGTGACCACAACCATTTTCATGTCAAAGAGTTGAAAGAGAAGTTGAAGGGGGGAAGGAATTTTCACGCCCTCACTGTATAATACAGTGCTCTTCAGCTAATATTCTAACAATGGCTGGATACTCCGAAAGGTTGAGTCAGATATTGAATCAACTTATTGATAACATTCATACTTAGCTAGACAATCTGCACGCATCACAATATTTCTTCGCATATGTACTAATCCGACCCTGGTGGTCGGCATGGGAGTGCTAATCGACCATTTTTTGCGTCTTTTTTTATTTATCTTATATGTCTGACGGCAACTATACTTCCACTCTTCAATTATATGACTTTTATATTTTTCCAAACTCATTATCATTCCAATTTATACCTTTTAACCTACCTTTTTAACTCGCATTGCAAGTAAGTTCTTGTTTTTGTTGAATTTACTTGTAACAAAATGTTTCATATACCATTTTGTTTCAGCCTTGAAGAAGAAAATGAAAATTTTTGAAAGCTTGGCATAGCAATAAAGTAGTTTGCTTGTAGCCCAATTGACTGACCTCCCCGATATTTCCTATTATATCAGAAAATAATTAATTTGTGTTTATTTAACGAATTCTGTGAGAAAGCATTCAGCGATGGCGTTGATACTATGTTAGATTCGTGTACACACTTTCTGAATCTTTCACGGTTCACTTTGTACCCTATGCAACCCTCATCTCTCATTCCCTTCGAACATATCGCCTCTTGTCTGCCTCCAGTAATAAGTTGGCAGGTTTGAATGTTCAATCCAGTCGTGATCTAGAATTATATACAGGAGGATAAGACAGAATAAGATCTTCGTTTTCGGATTCCTCACCTCATTTTGAGATACTCTGAGATACAGGGTATTAAAAGTACAAAAAAAAGGTTTATATTAATTCATTCGGAACCCCTTTAGAAAAACAAATGAAACTCGCTATACTATTCCAGATAAGTGTAATCACATGGAGTTTGTATTTTTGAATTTCGTTAAGCAGTGGTATAGTTATGGTCGTATGTCGCCACATTTCCCTTCGTCTCTTTCTCAGACAGATGAAATGTCAAATTGGCGTGTGATATCAATTAGACTTATTGATACTCAACCTAAAAGTAATAACATTCCACATGCTTCAATGTCAAGTTTCCTGAGATATTTACAAGAAACTAAAGATATGTTTTCAGCTAATATGTAGTAGGAACCCCATTTGATGTGTACCATAATCGCATGATGCTGATCTTTCACAAGATATATCGATGTAACTATTTTCAACATCCTGAACATTTTTCAATATTGAGAAAATCGGAAACATAGTGAGTCAGCAGTAGATCCACAAACTTCTTATTATGTACTTCTCACTCTACACTTCATTTCAAGTTGAACAGTTTATATTGAGATAATATGTCTTGAAGTGCAACATGTTTGAGATACTAGTTGTTGAATATGTGAACAAAATTGTGCATTATATATTTTTTCTAGAACACTCAGGTATGTAAAAGATTAAATAAGGTGAACTATTTAAAGTCGAATAATATTATACGTGGGATTTTCATTCTCACTGAACTGTTCACCTTGAAATGTGGAATAAAAAGTGATAAGAAGTTTGTCGATCTATTTCTGACTCACTCGTATTGTTCCAATTTCCTCAACATTGAAAAAATGTTCAGGTGGTTCAGAAATGTTTCGATATCTCGTAAAAGATCAGCATTATGCGATATGGTACGCAGCAAATGGCTTAAAATTACCTCAAGACGTATCTTTAATTTTTCGCAAATATCTCAGGAAGCTCTACATTTAGGCATGTCGTGGCATGTCATTACTTTAAGGTACAGTACCTACCAATAAGTCTTATCTGATATTTTACATCAATTTGATATTTCATATGTCTGAGAAAAAATATGAAGGAAAATATGACTACAAACGTAACTACGCCACTGGTCGACAAAGTTTGAAAATAAAAACTGTATGTAATCACCTTGATATATCTGCAAGGGATTTGATGAAATTAATCTAAACATTAATTTTTTTCGTACCCTTGACACCCTGTATTTTGTATATCGCATTTCAGGACATACATTTATAGGAACTCTTACCTCAAAATGAAATAAGGAATCCGTATACATAGTTTGTCCATTTTATTCTGACTCACCCTAATATATTTTTCTTCCACATGAAGTTTTGTACGTGAATAGGTCACAACCCTAACCCCTCGCCTCGTTTTCTGATTTAGAAATAATAATCATCAGTTCTTTCAACTTTTGGGCCACCCTGTCTCTGATTTTGTCTGACCTCGTCATTCGATGACGTATTCAACAGTGGCGGCTCCTCAGAGAAGGCAACGGATTTTGAGCCTCCTCAAGAATTACCATACATCGAATGGTTCGATATACTTGTATAAAATATCACATCGAAATAACTTACGTTCGTTTTATCAGTTTTATTTCCTGATGTCAAGTAGAATTTGAGAATTTGGCAGCAATGCTATCACTTGAAAGTATTGAGAATATAATACAATGCAGCCTCCGAACAATGAAATTCGCCAGAATCGCGATTCGCGAGGGAGCACGTGTGACTGAGATGTTCATAAGTATATGGTGTTTGCACTAATGCGCTTTTGTTTTGTCCAAACTTGACGGTATTGAACAGTTGAAAATAGCAATATTGCTCGCTATATCTCATTCTAATAGATGTCGCTGTACGAATTCTCTTTCAAATGGAAATAGAAACTCAATCATCAGAGTATCATTAAACACTACACCATTTCTGTATTTTTTGTCGTAAGTATTAGTGATTGTTGTTATTTGGTCCGATGGTTATTGAAAATATGACGATATCAGCGCCTCTTACGGATTTTCTATGAACAAGAACCTTATAAGTGTCGTCAGTTTTTTTTTCGTAGAATTTCACATTCACAATTTCCATTCAGCCTCCCCTGTTGAAAGGAGCACGAGCTGCCACTGGTATTCAATGCTATAATACAGGGCGTCTATAAATCATCGTAGCATCATTGTGACAGTTCAACTGTTTTATTGATTTGCCGCTTTCCACTTATGGAGATCGTACTACATATAATACATTCGGTCGCTTCAATGTCTGTTAACAACATAAGCAGAGAGCAGCACATTGAAAAATACTATTTCAACGGCCACCACGATGCTACGATCATTTATAGACACCCTGTATAATATTGATTCGTATTTACTTCATAATCTGTGATTTTCAGTGACCAGTAATGAGATTGTTAGACTGCTTCTAACAAAAACAAGAAAAAGCTGAATATGTACAGACTGACTTGGACGAGATCTATATCATCACTATACTTGATGCACTGAATGGAATATTGCAATTTTAATGTGAAGCGAGCACAACATGATTTAGTGATGAATGATTGTTTTCAGATTTATTTACTAGTTTCAGTAATCATTTAGAATTCTTTTCTTTTCTAAACCAAGATTGTCAATTTTGCTCAAACCTAGCAAAACCAATCAAACTTCATAGTTTATATAATATTAATATGGTTATTGTGATATTTTTAGATTTTATCAATATTTCTGTAGTCCTTCGGTATATTAGTCTAGATGGAAACTGCCTTACAGACTCATGTAATCAATACTACTTCATTGATGGATGACTGATCGCAGTTTCTAATATAATCGAACAATATATGTGGTGTTTAGACGTATTAAACACTTCTGACATGGCTAGTCAGTGAACAAATATAATATTCTGTTGTGCAATCACTTTTGAGATTATATTACCATGAAATTAAACTGATCACCATGGGCGTCGCCACTGCAGCCTTGCCTATCACCTATCTTCTGGCACATCAATTGAAGAAATACAGAGTGGGGCATCTCATACGACGCATAAAACTTTTTATATATCTATAGTTGAGAGATTTCATATAACGAAGATCTTCTGTTTAAATAGTTTACGAATAACTTGATGACATAAACTTACTAAAACTTTTTATAAATAGACAACTTTGTGCGTGATGTCTCACCCTGTATATTGAATTTATACGTGTAATCGAAAATTCACTTCGTCACACAAAAATGGTACACGCAATTGTAAAACAATAACTGAACATAATTTGAACTGGGATCCGAAGTTTTCAGTAGGTATCTTAGTACCTATTGTAACACGTATGTGGTTGTAATGGTTGCATTCTTGAAATATATGTCCAATATAAGAGAGTTTTCGATTGCCGACCGGTCGCGACCACTTGGACCACACTTCGACCACAGGGTTTTGATTGATGACCATATTGACCGAACTTCAAATGGTTACGTTTTTTATGGAAGACCAAGGCCGACCGATCCAAGACCACTACATCCGGTCTTTTTGATGGTCGATGCGGTTCAAAGATATAAAGTATAATCTCAAAACAGCAAATTACTATAAAACTGGGAAAGGGCATCTGCAGGCTTCAAAATTCAGTGACTTGAACTGCTTATATTTCAACAAAAGTAGCATTACATCTTCGCATGATTCACTTGAGTGCATTAGTACTGATATATTCAGTTCAAAATTATTATTTCATTCAATAAAATCTGTTTCGAGGAATCAAATGATTCATATATGTATATGATTCCTAATATATCTGGTTTATGAGATGGCAGGTAACATGTTATTTTCAGTATATTATCAACTGATCAGTGAAGATTACGGTTTTGAAGGTTTTTGCATACAAGTGACCGGTCGAAACGATTCGTATTTGTCATTGTGATTAGTCACGACACTAACGACCAGTCGGTCAAGCCGGTCGACAACCAAAAACTCTACCTTTTATGATGTTCAATGTTTTCAATTTATTTCTGAGATACTACATTTTAGTAACGGGTAGGTTCAGCAGATGCAAGAAGCATGTCGCGGTTGGATGGTGTTAGCGTTTATATTGCAGAAGTTACTAGAAGTGTCAAAAAGTTATTCAGATAAGTTGTTTGAAATCAAAATATAGGCTGGTATCTCAAATTAGTGGGCCAAGGATTTCAAATTTGCTATCGGAGCCTAATAGTTGATTCTAAACAACTTTGTTTGATAACTCTTTGAAAAATTCTCATCTGAAAATTTGATCTTTCATAAATATTCCAAGACGATCATCATCCACACTTTTATCAATCAATTTCCAAGAAAATGTATTTCAAACAACTAGAGAAGAATTAGTCCAGGGAATTGAAGAGGCTTCAAAGAATCAAACTTTCTTCCACAAATGATCGAATCACTCATAATTCTATGTTAGAAATCTATTGATGCTGTTAGATTATGTTCAAATAACTGCTGTAATTCCGATTTTACCTGAGAACACTTCAGTAATGTAATTAATGATTCATCAGTTTTTGCAAAAAACACGAGAACTGAGAAAAACATGTGAACAAATAACATACAACAGACAGAAAAACGAACAAACAGGTATCTTATATTTTCAATCCTACTATTTATTGTTTCAGTTAGACAAGTTAAACTTGTTTTGATGGATATCAATTTCTCAAGATTGCACATCACAATTGTTTTAAATTCGTATCAATTGAATATGTTTCAATTATATATCGTCGTTGTGTGAAAAACTAATCATAATTTTGGGTGTTTCCTGTTTGCTCCGCTGATAACCATAACCGCATTCTTTGGTTGTCAATGAAGTAAACACATTACCCTGAAGTAATATTTCTGACCCCCCTATCAAATCTTCCGGCGACGCCCATGCTGATTACTTGATTGCCAGAATGTTGACATAAAGACATTTTTGAGATTTATGAAGAATAATCTCGAAATAAGCAGTGGATGAATTATGTATTTGGAATCTGTAGATTGATGAATCATAAAATATTTTTGAATAGTAGGTATCTATGTAATCATAATCTTCATAAGAATGGATCTATTACTATTTTAATGCCACCATATCTCTATTGTTTGTAAAATTTAAGTTGAATTGACTTTTTTATGGTTGGTTCGTTTGGGCGATAATTTCATAGTAGAAGTAGGCGTTGGAGTAGCTACCCATGGATGTATGTTTTATGGAAATTGACTATTTTTGGAACCTTGCCCTGCTCAGTAGAAAATTGGTTGAATAATTCTTGTTATAATCATATTTGGAGTTTTCAAGTTGTTTTGTTTCGTTAAAATGTTTAAGAAATGCATTGGCATGAATAAGAAAGATAATTTTCATATATGTATGTTATATCATTCAAATAATAATAATGATGATAGTAATAATGTAATTGCATTTTTATAATTGGTATCCATTTCAATTCTCGCTAGTGTGAAAACGTTGTTTAATCTTTCTATTTTTTATTTGCAAAACGGCTCATGGTGTGTGGTAGTTTTGTTCGTTATCTGCCTGTCATGGACATTCTATGATATTCAGGAGATGAACGTATGTAGATAATTGTACGTTTTCACGCCAATGAGTATATGTTGTATAATTGGGCACAAAAATATATGAAATGTCTGATACAACCCTCGTATTCCAAATATCATGTTTCATTCCAGATGTTAAAATTCTGTGTTCAAATATAATTTGTGCTCAATTTTTTTATATGATGAATTGAAGCCAAATTTTGCCATAATATCTACTGTATTTAATATACCTATTTAATATCACTAGTATGGAATAATTTGATTCCGATGTTTTTAATAAAATTTTGAATAGTATGATTCAATTGTTCATGTTTTATTCAAATAACCCGACAGTCTTATCTCTTGTTTATATTCAATTTGACCGGAAGTGCATTCCATTTTTTCAGTTATATTCTTATGACAATTACGACCATATTCAGTGTCATTCATAAAGTCGGCATCATATGGAAACATTTTTTAATAATAATTTATTCAGAAATTCGACTTGGGCGTTAAGTTTTTGTTCTAAAAATACGAAAAATTTACTGATCGGCCGGGGTCACATGACTTTCGCTACATGTCAAGAGTTACATGTTTCCAAATTGATCGCTGAAAAAAGACTTATTTGTTTCAATTTCAAGAAAGTTTAATGAGGACAATTTTTTTATCCAATTCAACATATTATATGTGTCGAATTTCATTCCAAAACAATTTTTAGTTTTTGATATTTTTTCAATTTCTACGAAATGTCTGTGATATTAAAAAAAATAAAACCGACAAAACTATTCCATTCTAGTAGTTTTATCATGCTACTAACTTTCAATCACTAATTATCGACAGAAATAGGTTTTTATTCAGAAAATAAGAATCCCTGCTTCAAATTTCTGTTGTGTTTGATGCAAAGTTGATGTACAGTCGCATTCAAAAAAAAGCGTACAAGTATATTACAGAGAGAAATTAACGTCATCCTATTCTGCATAAAACGGGCTATCGGGAATGATTGTTCACCAAATGTTGAAAGTAAAGTTGTCATAGGATCTCGAAAACACAAAGCATTGGCTGAGCCAGTTTTACACAACTAGAACTAGGATCCCGAAATCATCTCTTTTTAATACTTGTTGTACGCTTTTTTATTGAATACGGCTGTACATATCGCCTATCATTTCAGGGGCGAAATTTATTTGAATTGATTTTTTCAGTACTAAAATGATGTCAAAGTCATCTTTCAAAATATCATCGAACTACTTTACGTATCCAACCAGAGTTTAGGAACAGTTTTGTCGAAGTAACAATTAGAAGAAATCAAAAAATATCAAGAACTAAAAGTTGCAATAGAACGTTCAGATTCGAGACAAATGTGTTGAACTGGAATAATAACAACTTTTCTCAGTTAAGTTTTTCAAAATTGGGATAATTGAGCCTATTTTCAGCGACTAATTAAAGAAATATATATCTTTCGACATGTAGCGAAAGTCACGTGACTCCGACTGAGTAGGCCATTTTTCAACCTCTTTGAAGCAAAACTTAACGCTCAAGTCGACTTTCAAAATAAATCGTTATTAAAAGTTTTTCCCATATGATGCCATAAATAAATGAATAAATAATAATAAATAATAACTTTATGAGTGACAAGTATATATCACCTTTCCTAAATCTGCACATTTAATTGATATTGAATGGAAAATTACTTTTTGTATTCCCCTCGTAATGAAAGATTTTGTGCTATGTATAATGAAATAATGGCATCTGAGTAACAATAATTCGATTTCAAAGTTTTCACACAATAATATTTATGCACACCAACTATTTTTATAATTTTCGTTTTTCTCAATTCTTCAACACATATTTTTTTAATGCTACCAAAGAATATTTTGGAGTTGGTCAGAAACTCCCATACATATTGACATACAAAACAGTAAAACATAAATTTCTGTTTCTTATTTACTTTTAATGGAGATAAAATCCATGTGCTATACATATACTTATATTTGTATTCACCTTCTCAACTTCATATCAGCAATACTATTGAATTTTTTTTATGGGTCTAGAATTAATATTGAAATGAATAAAATACATCAACTTCTCCACAGAAAACGCCATTTGACGATGACGTGAGTCATTTTGACATCGTCAAAGAAGGATGCACCTTTTTTATCACTGTTCCTGTTCTTCAAAATCATACTTCATCTAGTATGTGCCTAGCACGATTCACTGTTGCGTTCCAATTAACAGTGCTGCTCCTTAAGTGGCGCATGGAGTTATTAACAAAGCCTGCACAGAACATACAGAAAGAAATGATGATGCTGTGGTTGTGAGCATCCGAGCAGAAGTAGGACGGAGTATGTAGGTGGGTGTGGAAAACTACCAGCTGAGCGTGAGAGTGGGCCAATGCTGCTTAATGGGTCTCCTCTAACGGGGGTTAACGAGGTATCTGGCCAATGCTATTTAGTGGGCCTCCTTTAACGGGGGTTAACGAGGTATCTGGCCAATGCTACTTACCAAGGTAACACGAAACTCTATGCGATATCTCTAAGTAGTTATCTTCAGGATCAAAATGCGAAATCCTCCTGCGAGGTGCCAACGATCACTATAGGCTGTCACCATTAGAAATACTCTCTGGAGTCGTCCGAAAGAAATCGCAGAGGTCCCTCCTCAGATTTGAAATATTCGTCATTATTGCGAATCCTTGAGGTTATCTATAACAGGAACTGAATAAGCATTTCTTTCTGCGAGCACCCAAGGATATCCTGGACGTAACAAGAACGAGCATTTCCTATTGCGAGCTCCTAAAGTAATCACAAATATAACCTGATAATTATTGAATATTTTACTACAAGTCTGCTACAAAAATATTGAGTTGTTTTTTCATTCGCCTTCATGAATTATCGTATACAGAGGCAATATCTCGCATATTTAGAAATTAAAAACATTAAAAGACTGCCTTGAATGGCATTAACTAACCTACCTAATGACTCATTAAAATAAGTCATTCAACATAAAAAGTTTTACAAGGCCTAAAACCAAAAATGCAAATATCAGATATCGACTTTTGTCAGTCACGAGGTATGTCAAAAAAATAAATTTTGTTCAAGTGTAAATAAAGTACCGTTTTTATTTTCGATAATATCGAAAATTATTATCATATAAAAAAGTTGACTAGAATTGAAAACTACAATCAAATATCTGATAACATCAATTCACGATGAGAATCATGTATTATTATTTCTTACAATAACTTCTGCATGATCGATTCATATGGCAAACAATTATTTTAATAATATTGCGGAAAAAGCGAGGAAAAAAGCATCCGTCATTGAAAGTTCTTCAAAGTCTAAAATCAATATTGCAGATATCAATGTTTTGAGTCATATGTCAAAAAACCCAAATTTCTGTAGATCATAATCACGACTTTATTGAAATGTTCTTATATGATGATCCTATAATAATCCCATATTATGATTATCCTCAAATATGGAAAAAATCTTGGAACATACATTTCAGGTTTTCAAGGAATATGAATTCTTTCATCGTTTTTTCTTTCGTATGATTGGGAAAATTCTCAATGACCATACAGTTTTATCTGGAACATATAGCTTGATTGCCCAGCATTGGCCTTTTCGAAAATTGAGTAACCGAAGTTGTTGTATTTCCCGGCAACACCAAAGTCAATAAAACGATGAATAAGGGTCAATACTTATTCGCTTCACTGGCAAAGTGACTACAAGAATGTGAAAGGCCAACAGAGTTTTGCCGCTGAAGTCATTCCCTCAGCAAAGAAAGCATTGAGCCAATAATATACCTTCCCGGTAGTTCATTGTTTGTTGGGTGAAGAGGCTATATGCCACTCGAAATTATTCGAATGTTATCAGTTTTCTGTCTTATCCCTTCCCCTTCGAAAGGGGCGGGATCAACCTGAAGAATTCGTGGAAATCTGGAATCGTATGTTTATCGAGCGGCACGTCGAGGACACCGAACATCCCTCGATGTTCAACATGAGACACATCTCATAATTTTAGGCTCATGTTAGGCTAATTTATTACCCCATTCCCGAGTTTTTTGCTCCTCTCTATCATAGAAAAATCTGTGGCTTTGCTAGCTCCGGCGGAACTCAGCAAAGCCAATTTGTAAAAACAATATTTTTTGATGATCTGATATAGTGAAAATGTAGTGCTCATTTTAGGCTAATTCATTACCCTATGTCAAATATTCTTGCTCCTCTCTATCATAGAAAAATCTGTGGCTTTGCTAGCTTCGGCCGAACTCAGCAGAGCCATTTTTGAAAACATTGATTTTTCACCGATTCAATATATTAATTGAGATTAAATGGCTTATTTTAGGCGATTTCATATGGCAAAGTGTTACTATTAATTGTAAACTCGATAACCCATTTTGGAATTTTTTGCTACATATTTTTAAAAAGAAACGTATGGCTTTGCTGGCTTCAAGATATATTGAAAGGCAATTTCAGGCTAATTAATTACCCTATTTTCGAATTTTTTGCCCAACGTTTCGAACAATAAAAAAACACGAAACGATTCGTTATTCACTAAAATGGGATGGTTATTGAGCTTACAATAAATACTAACACTTTGCCTTATGAAATCGCCATAAAATATGCTTTTGACAGAAATGCATGATGTATAGTGAATAACGCATATATCGACGAATCGTTTCTTCGTGTTTTGTTTTGGTTCGAAACGTTGAGCACAAAATTCAAAAATAGGGTAATCAATTAGCCTAAATTACCTTTCAATATCGATATATCAAATCGGTGAAAATAGTTATTTATTATACAAGGGAAAAAAGTAGTAGATTTTAGCTCCAGGTTGTGTTGTCTCCCGACGCGTAGCGGAGGGAGACAAAAAACCGTGAGCTAAAATC